CTGTTCTAAAGCTATGTCATAGAACTATTTATATTAGATATTGTTTGAGAGAGGCTGACTGTTTTATCTACAGTAAGAAACAGCATGGAAGTGAAGTCCTTTACTCCCAGACCCATAAAGTCATGCGATCTTGGCAATTATTGACAGATTATAGCTAGGGTGATGGTGGCGAGGGAGGAAGGTAGTAATTTCCAGGAGTTATCACAGCTACTCAAAGGCATAGCCAACTCTGATCATCGCCCAGTGTTAAAGTGTGTTATGCAAATATTGCTAACTGTGTAGTTTGGTTCAGTGGTTATCACAGGAGTAAACAGAATGAAGCAACAAGACTCAGCCGTCAGTCACAGCTCTCGCTGTTAAACTCCTCTACAACAGCATTTTTGCCTTTTGTATGGCAGAGCTCCAAAAAGGTGGCCTCCCAAGAGGAATGGCCATTGCTAGAAAGAATGCAGATAATCCATCTGTGGGCATTCTACAGATTAGCCTATCACTGTCAGACAAATCAAAGAAAAGGAAAGATAGTAGAAAGGTGGCAAACTTTTTGTTCATACCTTATGTGCCTTACAGCTGACACTTCAAAGCACTCTGAAAAGGTATTAGAGCTTTTCTTCCTGGATCCTTCCTTACTTGTTTTTCAAACGGATTAGTTGAGTTTCGGCATAACTAATTGCTTAAGACCACAAAGAGCAGTGACTGGAAGAGAATGCAGTGCCCTCAACTCTCCGTAAAAGTAGCTTATTATTAATGTTGAACTAATAGTCTAATTTAAAGGGGATGGAGACATAATTCAGTAAGAAAACAGGGGGAAAATACTATGTAGCTTTTTTCAATTACAAATGCACTTTATGAGTTCTGCGTTTTGGACTGGGATGGTTTTTTTCAGATCTACTCACTGTGTTTATAACCACTGCTTCTCTGAGTACTTTGTCATGCTTTTGATGCCAACAATAATTATGAGAGCTCTAGCACACACAGGCAGGAATTTGTTGGCATTTTAGCTACCACGCTGACCACTTGTAATAGCTGGGGAATTTAGGGGGAAAAAAAAAGTCTCTTGTAGACTAAGCTGTTAGAATAGTATTTATGATGTAACATATTCTTGCAGAGCAACTAGAAAGACTGCAGCTTTGATTTTTTTGGGCGGGGTGGGAGGGTGTTTGGAGGATTATGAGCTTGCCCTGTTTTATTCCACTCACAGAACTACCCTGTACCAGGTAAGCAGCAATTTCAGAATTGGGAACTAACTCAAGTTAACTATCTTTTAAAACTGCTATACACATTCATCCTCTGAACATCTTTTCTTTTACCTGTCGAGCTCTGCCTTTATTCATAACCACTGGTATACATACTGGTGACTCTAAATGAGAAAAAAAGATCAGAAAAAACTGACTGCACAAAGCAATGTATCTTAGATTTGGCAGCCCCATGGATATTTCCAGTATGATATCACCTCCTCCTCACAATGACTATGATAATTAGTTTTAGTTTCCTCCCCAGCCATAGCAAAACCTCCCAAAATCACTTCATCTTTAGGGTCACAGATCCACTTCTCACAGCACTCTCCAGGAACTTCTATTTTCCTGGGGAAAGGACAGTCGGGGCCGGGGAGCAGCAGGTCCAGGTTACAGCGGGGCAGACAGCCGATCTGTCCGTCTCGGCAGGTGCACTGGTACTTGCAGCTGGGCTGGAAGGTCTCCCCGTTGCGATAAATCATCCCATCGAAGACGCAGTTGTCTCCCTCCAGCACTAGTGAGAAAAGCGAAGGAGTTTCACTGAGGCAGAGGGCACTCAGCACCCTCCCCGTGCCTCCCAAAGCACAGCGGCGGGCGTCCCTCCCGGTCTCGGAACGGGCCACCACCCCGCCCGCAGCGGCGAGAGAGCCCCCGGCCCGCCGCGGTCCTGAAGAGGA